ACGGTCACACCACAAGGTAAATGTAAGGGTTCCGTAAATATGTTTATGAAGTTTCTTGGCTTAAACCTAAATGTGTGTTAGTTTTAATTATTGAGAGGTGTTTCAACAGCATCTTGACACTCTTTCTGGGTGCAGTTCCCCTTTTTGTGTCAATTCCACACTGTGAAGTCATCGAGGATACTCTGAGTTCAAGACAACTGTGTGACTTAGAAGTAGAGCACCCATCCTTTGGGTGATAGGGTAGCTTGAGGCCAGTGAAAATATTCACTGTTGGACAGCTTTATAGTTATAAATAATATTTGCTTTCTCTTTTTCACAATCGCAGATATTTTGCTGCAGAACAGTAGATATACTGTAAAATGCAAGTGGATAGTATCAGCTCAGCTATTTCTTTCTTTTTTTTTTGCCAATAAAGAGACCTGTTTATTACTGATAACACTTCATTTGACTAAAACCACAAGAAATCCACACACAAATACATAAAGTGCAAATTGTCACAGGCAGTAGTAGTTTATAATTCACCCTGGTATTTTTGTAGGGAAAAAAATGGATGTTAACAAAAATTGTTAAAATGGGGGTACAATTTTGAACTATTGCTGCACACTTAGAAAAAATAATTCATTCTTAATTGTATATATTTGATATGTCATATCTAATGATGTATACTCAAAGTTTACTTTAGCCTATAACAGAAAGGCCTCACTATATACAGAAGCAGACTTTTGCTTTTTAATATAAAGTAAGACACATGATGAATCAAGCTCAGCTATTTCTTAACTCCATTCTCTACTTAAGCCAGAGCTGATTTTCTGCCTCCATTCCTAGCAAATTGGGCACCTTGAGCAGCTCATACCAGTCATTACAAACTTTTAACTTGTTGGTTTTTGGTCTTAGCCACCAGGACCTAAAGACCTTCTCAGAATTATTTCATTCTGGAATGGAAAAAAAGAAAGGGGAGGGCATGGCTATATTTGGCTATGACTGTAAGCAGGATGCCGTCCCCTCCAATTTCGGATACCACGTAGTTTGTCAGTGGGCAGCATCAGCAACACTATTGACTGTCTTTGCACAGTGATGGGTAGTATTCTAACAGTGGAATTCTTTGATTCCTTTATTTAAAAATTTACAACTAAAAGCTTTTACTGTGAGGCAGCTATTTGAACAAATGGAGAGCCGACATGGTCATTCTTCATAAATTTAATTGAAATGCTTAATGTAAACCCAGTAAAAACTGGGACTAAACAGGTGAGGACAAGCAGTAAATTTTTGAAAAAGATCAGTTAAGGAGACTTAGACTACTGGAAACATTAAAAGCTATCTAAAAACATAAATAATTAAAACTAGGTCACTACAAAAGAACAGAAAAATAGAGAATAAACAGACTCTGATTCTGGAATCAGAACTTGCAAAGTACAAGCTGTGCAGTGGCATTATACACCCATTGCAGTCAGTCACTGGACATGGGCCACATGGGAAGGAAGTGGTCTTCCACGAGGCAAAGAGGCTGACACCTGAAGCTGACCACCAGTGATCCTCCCAGAGTTGGGGCACAAAGCATTTCCTTGTCAGGGAAGTTGAGTGGCTCACCATTGCAACCTCTAAATTCTGTTGTTTGTGTATTTTTATCCTCCATACCTGAAGGTGTCATTTATATCTTATCACAGCTCTGCTCTGGAAGAAGACTGAGTCTGTGTCATTCCCTTGTTCCTTTGCTGTGGGGCCAGAATGGGAGTGCCCAGGAGCCACACCAAAGTCTTTGGTGATGTCCTTGTTCCTCCCCAGCAGTGGGCTGTTGCTGCGTGGTGTAGACTGATGGTCTTATATGAAACCTTGGAATGGGGAACTAGTGAGCTGCCATTGGTAGCTACTATACACCATCTGTGTTGGTAACTATTTCTGTTCCCAGGGCCTAATATACTCTTGTGCTGATGCTTAGGGTTAGGAAATTTTGTCCATTTAGTCGGCCTGGTCTGTTAGCAAGGTCAGATGCAGAGTGATAGGCTACAGGAAGGGGAAGATTCCTCACCTACAATGACTTCCCAGTTCCTAATGTAGCCAGTCACTTCCCACATCAGCCTCTGAGAACACCCATCCTGATTCTCATCTGATAGCCGGGGCCCCATTCTGTTCTTCAATAGATGCTGCAGCTTTTGCTTCACATAACTTGGTGGTGAGTGTGGGGATCCCATGGACTCATGGGATCCTCAGGGACTATCCATGGATGGGCCTGGTCAAAAGCATGTTTTACCATGATCCTCAGAGAGGAAATGTGAGGGGAATTTTTCTGGATTCTTCTGAGGTGTTCCTCAGACTGTGAAAGGGACATATCACAGAGATAGCCAGTTTCTATCTCTGAACATTGTTGTCAGCTTGTGGTACTTGGAACGGACATGGCCCTCTTGAAACCAGGAGGGAACGCAACCTAAGAGAATGAGAACGGGTGGAAAATAATCCTGCATTACTTGTGTCATTGTTCAGTAACTGTACAGAACAGAGCAAGGCCCCTCTCTTCGCACAGTTTAATTCGAGTGGAGCGGATAGACTAAGAGCACTCAAACTGTGTGAGAAGGTAGTTAAGTGGAATGGAATAACATGAAGCAGGGCAGGGGATGGGTACCAGCCCAAAGCTGGGTCCTCTGTACAAAGGCAAAGTTGGCCCCGTAACAAGTTTGCCTTTCATCCCATGTGTCATAATGGCCTAGCACAGGCCATTAAACTGAGAAATGACAAGAACACACTTGTGTTTCAGGAAAGAAATGATGTGGCAGAGTGGGAGGGGTGGTGGCATTGTTTTAAAGAGTGGTCAACCAAGGCTCCTCTGAGAAGGTAACATTTGTGCAAGGACCCACCTGTGACAAGGGATGCAGAAGAGCATTCCGGCCAGAGGACGCAGTGGACGCCAACTCCCTGTGTGCCTTTGGAGCACATTTAAAAAACTTCGAGGTGCTGCAGTGGCTACCGGAACTGGGGAGCAAGGGATGAGAGTTGCTGGAAATGAGTTTGGAAAAGTATTCAGCTATTACCAAAGACTTCTGGCTCTTCATCTGAGCGAGACCGAAACCTTTGGAGGTGTGTGAGGAGAGGAGGAAAATGATCTGAACTAGGTTTATAAAAAAAAAAAAAAGAAGAGGCCCCCAGCAGAGGCACTGAAGAAAAATTAAGAGAAAAAAAGAAAAAGCGGTGTTAACTGGACTAGAAGATGATTCTGGGTAATCAAGGTATAAGTTCACAGAATTTTAATATCTTGAAAAACTTGCACCAGAAGCCATTTTGCATATTCTGATGTAAATACAAAGAAAGCTTCTATGGAGGTTCATTTTTAAACATTCTTTTGAAAAATGTCATTGGATTGTTTTTAGTAGCAAAGCTACACAAAACTGTACAATAATGTACTAATGTTATGTACATTCATTCAGTCCCATGAGGTATAACAGAGTGGTAGGATTCAGGGGTTGTGAGATGGTAAGATTTTCCTAAATGTTAGTACCTAGTGCCAGTGTAGAAAAAAAAAATACTTTGCTTTTCAAAATAAATAGCTAAGTTTGTCTTCTTTTGTTCTTGAATAAGGTTTTACATAAAATAAAAGAGATCTTTCAGCCTTTTGATTTTGGGCTCTTTTCTCCCGTGTGAATGTGAGGTGGTATTGAAGTCAGTGTTTTTTACTTGCCGGTGTAAATTCTGTGAGCCATTTATAGTAAGATAAGTTGGACCAGCTGTTGTGAAATGACAACTCTGTCCGACGATCCATTACACAAGCATACATATGCCTCATCTATGTCGTGACAGTAAGCATACCTTTAGCACCAACTAAGGATTTTCTTGGCCAGTTATTCTGTCCAGTTGCATAGATTTCTACCTAGGGTCAAACTGAGAACCCAATCTGTCATGAACCGGCTCTTTACTTTTAAACGTAAATCCTTTCAGATCAAGAATGGATACTTCCTCTGAGGATTAATCCTGCGAACTCAGTGATGAGCTGACGTTGACTTCGACTGCAGATTTATTTTTAGAAGCAGGATTTTAAAATTAATTCTTTCGACTTCTCAGCAAGTTCTAAAGAATAGCGTACTTAGCCTACCGCATTTCTCTAAGGGAAGTCCGGCGGGATGGCTGAGGAGGAGCGCTGATAGAGCGCCTTCTGGTGCCAGTAGGGGCCCCGTGAGCCCCGCCTCCTGTTGAGAGGTCGTGTGCGGAGGCTCAGAGAGGACTTGTGACTTGCTCTGTTATTTTGCAAATAAATGTGAAAACGAGATTGTCACCCATTCCTGGGTGACCTCAGAGTTCATGCCAGCTCTCTAAAGGGGCTGACTCATGAGGGCAGAGGTAAATATTCTGTGTTAGCTCAGACGAGCTCTTTCTCCAGGGCCTCTGAATTTCTGAAGCTGTTGCTTCCATCAGCTCTGTTTAACAGCCCTATGCAGAGAGCTCGCTGAGGTCCTTCTTGAGTCGCTTTATAGATTTATTACTGTGCGTTTTGTGTGGATTTTTAAATGTAGTGACAATGAACTATTAACCAAGCTCCAAAATTACAGTAAAATCACAGTCATTTCTTTCTGTCTTAATAATATTGATGGACTTATTTTACTGTCATACTTTTTAAGAAACTTTACATAAAGACTTCTTCCTGAAGTTATGAAGCATCAATGTGCAATTAAAAGCTCAAAGCCAGTGATGCTTGAGGAGTATATAACATCATGATATGAATCATGCTTTTATTCCTGAGGGTCTGAAAAGCAGTTATCATTATTGATTCATAAAGGGAAAACTGATTAAGGAACATTCAGCCATCCCGTGACAACACTGGAATTTTTAATTGCTGAACTCTTGTGTCGACTGTGTAGTATCTCTTAGATGGTCTCATGATTGCCTAAAATTATTCTGGTGTAAATGTCATACCAAATTGGGAGAAAATAAAAGAGGGTTTGAAAGGATAATGTTATCAAATGCTTTAAAACTAATTGCCGTGTGTTAATTTTTTCTACTTTATCCCCCCCCACCAGGAGAACAATTCAAAGTGGAGACAAGGACCATTGCTGTTGACTTTTCATCAGAAGATATTTATGATAAAATTAAAACAGGCCTGGCAGGTCTTGAAATCGGTGTTTTAGGTTTGTATTTTTGTCACATTTATAGATTCTTGCATTTATTACTTGACTTTTACTATGTCTTTATTTTCTCTTTGGATAGATATTAGGTACTCAGTGAATAAAATAACCAGTGAGAAGAAAATTGTCCTCCTAATCCAATTGATCATTCAATGATATTAGTCTATATGTGTTTGAATCTTTGTGTTAAGTATATATTAACTACTATTTACAGTTTTGGTTATTTTCCCCACCTGCTTTATTTCCATTCTCATGCTTCCTGTGTATATTCAGATACAGTTGTAATAATCCTTTAAGATAGTTGATATCAAGCCACATAGTTAAAAATTGAAGGTCAAGAAAAGCATTCTCAGCCTTTTGTTTATTATTGTCTCCCTGGAAAAGCTTTTTGGACATTTTTTTCCTCCCAGTCTCACCTCTGCCATGAAAATTTTAATATCACAGATGCACTGTATATCTGTGCTTTGTACAAAAAGAGTAAGATTGTCCCCTCCACACTAAAGTTTGGTCCCTCTGAAGAGGTGTACCTCAGCTGAAGGTGCATGGTTTCAACATGGGTGACTTGGTTAGTCACGTGAAGATTGAGTGGCATGTGTAGGGGTCAGTGTTCTATTTGTTTTTTCTAAGTCTTCTATCCTGCTTTGTTACGCCACATTAGCAAAAACAAGATAATGAGAGACACTGAACTTTGTTGTGGAAAAGATTCACCAGAAAACCCTAAAAGGAAAAATGGCCTTTGATAAATTTCTCACAATTCTTTGAGAGTCATTTCGCGAAACAGGGCATCTAGTCCAGAAAAGCCACTTCGGCACTGAATCCTTTTGTCCTGTTTCCTGGAATGGTGGGAACCTGGTAATTGCCCTTGTTTTGTTTAGTGGGCTGTAAAAGGAAGATAGACGAAGAAAAAAAAATTTTGTTTCCTAACATTTCTTTAGTCATAGAGGCTCAACCTCCCTTTTTCATCCTATAAAAATGGTTTTTTATACATGTACCAACGTTCCACAAGGAATGTAAACATTATATACTACACACATACTAATAAACTAAAATAAAAATTTTTTAATGCAAAAAATGTTTTTTATATAATTTCTAGATAAGACAATTGTATATTTTAAAAAATCAGTTACATATTGTAGGTCGAAATAGGGCTCTTGGCCATGCAGTTCACCCTGGCTTTGACATGCTGTCCTTTGACACACTCTCTGATCCCTATCACCCATTTCCATACCCCCTGGAACTGCTCCCCCACTTACAGGACAAGCAGTAAGTAAATGACAGATGAAAACATGGATCAAGTTTTTGCCTTTTGTCTCCACGTTCTTCTCTAAGTACATATATTGCCAGAAGTCTTCCACAAGTTCCTCTTCCTTGGTGTAGATCTGGAATACATTAAGTAAGTAGTCTAATATCTGTAGAAATCTTGGCTGTTTTTAAACTTCCAAAATAGCAGCTGTACCTTACTAGTTAGTATAAGTGCTGCCGTGCTTTATTTCAACCCTGTTTCAAACTAGTGATGGACTAGGGCATTGATGGTGAGCCTCTTAAGAGCCTTCAGAGATAGAAACAGCCCGCTGTGGCACACGTGCCATAGGTTCGCCACCAGTGGACTGGGAATGAAGGCTGGCATAGATATGAAGGTGGCTTGAGGCTCCCTAATGAAAGGCAACTGAGAGAGGGGGTCATTATTTGCCTTAAACTTGTGTTGTTGGAGAATGACTTACTTTTAGAAGTACATTTCTTCATATTTGTTTTTAGCTCCATATAAGTTTTAGCTGCGGGGGATGGTAAAACTATAGATACTCTGAGATTATGGCATTGAAGACAAAAAAATGTTGGGGTTCTTCTAGGATGTCCAAGTGGGTTGTTGATGGGTGGATATACAGGCATAGGCTTCAGTAGAGCTTTGGCCTGGAGATAGAGTGGGGAGATTGGTCTCCTAAGAGTAGAAATTTCAGTGGAGCAGCAAGAATGGAGAGCATCCACGGAGAACACATAGACTGTGAAGAGAAAAGTGAAGGCAGAGCTTTCTTGAGCTCATCAAAGGCTGTCTGGAAGAGACAGCACAAGGGAGGAATGACTCCTTGTCTGAGTTCAGCACTGTTCAGTAGATCTCTAACACGGGCCACATAAATAATTTGAACTTTTCTAGTAGCCACATTTTTAGAAAGATAAAAAGAAACAGATGAAGTTAATTTTAATAATGTATTTTATTCAAGCCTGCTATATCCAGAACATCATTTCAGCGTTTCAATATAAAATTATTGAACTGTCTTGCCTTCTTTTTTACATAGTAAGTCTTCCAACTCTGCTGCGTATCTTACTCAGTGGCGTATCTTACTGCATATCTTACTCAGTATCTTACTGCGTATCTTACTCTCAGCCCCACGTATGAAGTGCCGGGTAGGTACATGGGGCTTGTGCTGCTCCTCTGGACATCTCCACTCCGCTGTCGGCCAGCTCTCATCTTCAGTTTGTGTGAGAGAGCCATAAATACAATTTCTAGATGTTTCCTATACTTTAAAGCAGCGATTCCCGACCAAAGTGCATTTTGGCAATGTTTGGTGACATCGCTTATTGTCACTACTTGACCAGGGCAGGGTGGAGGGCTTTCATAGCCCCCAGTGGGTAAAGGCTAAGGATGATGGGAACATCCTCCGGTGCTCACAGGACAGCCCTAAAATACCGTAGTGCTGCAGTGGAGAAACCCTGCCTTACAGTTCCTGCCATTAGACAGTTCTCACTGAGTACTTAGTGAAACATGCACAATTTTTGATTTGATTTCTAGTTGGTCATGGTTGGTTACAAATCAATAATAAAAATAATTTTAGCTAATGCTTATGTAGTCCTTGAAAGTATAGTGGCATTTTCACATACATTGCCTCATTAGGTGGGATCTACATTTAGTTTTCCTTGTGAGCGGTATTTTATGTTATTACTAGGTCATATTTCAACTTTAATCTTCTAGTTTCTTTAGTTTGGGTGTAGCTCTCTAGAACTTTCGAGGAGAGGCTGATGTACAGGGTTTCTTTCTCTGATTACCTGAGTTTCTAGCCCCTTCACTTTCTTTCCTTGCTCCTTCGTTCCCATTCAGATTCTACATCCTCCCTGCCTTTGTCTGCTCAACCCCAAATCATCTCATTTAATTGCCTCCTTACTGTCTTAATAGAACCTCACCTTTATAGATATACTATGTGTAGCTTGTTTTTGACCTAGCAATCCATATTAAGTCATAGAAAGAAATTATTTTCTGCTGAATTTTAAACTAGTGATGATAAAAAGAAAAATAAATTAACAAAAGGTACTCAATTTGTTTGAATAATGTTAAGCATCAAACTGTATTCATCGCTTAATAAAGAAAATTAGTATTTTCAAAATTACAAAGGAAAATGCTAAAGCCCTTTGTCATGAAAGAAACATTGTTTTCAATGAGATAATTGGAAAGAAAACAGCCACGAATGATGTGAATTTATACTGAAAGGTCACCATGACTTGATGAGACTATAAATGCTGAAGGTTGAGGAGTTGGATTCTTAATTCTATTGTGTAATAAAAAGTAAACACCTGCTGTCTTCTTTCAGGCAAATGCCAAAAAATACAGATTTCAGCAAGCTCATAAAACTTCAACTATTTAGAGAAAATGACATCCTTACTTCTTTGAATAGGCAAACAATTGGTTAACACAGTATGATTGCCGTAATGCTTGCTTGGCCTTCGGGAGAGACTTTCATCTGTGTTCCAAATTGCTTCGGAGGACTTTGCACAATATGTCACCGGGAGGTGTGTTTTACCAAGGCCAAAGGAGTGGCCTTGGATCTGAAATACGCCTCAGACATGCTTCTTTCAGACTTCACTCCTGTGACTTTTCACCTTTATAAAAGTGAGATTCTTCATTCTAGAAGAAGGAAAAATATGGTGCCTTAATTTGTGATCCCCTTGTAAAAAAATCAACCACACCTCTATTGGAGTTGTTAATGGATCCTAGACGAGAAGTCTCCCAAGCAATATGCTTTCAAGATCCCTTTCACCCAGTGTTATCGTTGTATCCCTGTAGAATCGAGAGAGTCCATTGGTAATGGATGGCCTGTGTCGTCATCCTGGCTTATTGTATTCAGGGTTGTTTGTCATCCATTTAACATTTTTGGTCTTACCAGTACACACTGCCCATGATTTTAAGAGGCCTCACAGTAATAAAAATAATATGTATAGACAGTAATGCTGAAACAGACTTTATTGCTCTCTTTTCTTCCTATGACCTTTTAAGTGGATACTTGTTCCACTAATATACTTGGTGAGTTATTTTAGAATTATTTATTGTTCTTCCCTTTACCTCAGCAGAACGCAAACTCTTTGTCATCCTGCCCATGCAACCAATGTCCTCACTAAACCTTATGGATTTTGGGAAACGTTTGTATTCCTTTGTCGCCTCTAAAGCCTGTGTTTCCTAGAATGTTCTGGGATAGAGAATAATCAAATACAAATACTACATATATTAACCTAAAGATTGAGCAGAGATACCCATCAGAGTTCGGATCAGTTAATCCTGTCTCTGTGTACACTGAAGATTTTCAACTTTCTTTTAAAGAGATCCAAAAGTAAAGATAAACTTTACTAGTACATTCTTTTAAAACCAGGCTGATTCTTTATCGTAGTGTGTATTTTGGAAGACATTACAAATGAAGATACTTTCTAGAAGATACTTAAAATTCTCTTTATGTGACAAATGTATCAATTTATTTCCATGTTAAATATACAAATCTTAAGAGATTAATATGTATAATTTTTTCACATCTTTCTTCCTTTTCTCTCGCTTTTCTTCTTCCTCTTTTATTTTCTTTTTCCCTACCACAGTGAACATGTACTAAAAAATGACATTTTTGATCTGACTCTTATGCCCCATGTTTGATTCAGAGCTGTAAATGCTTCTGAATTTATGAATTTCTTAAAGGAAAAAAATCAATTGAGCTCTTTATTTCAAGCACGTTGGAAAGGGTTTTGCAACATGA